AAAAAAAAAACTAACATGATGTATAACATAACTATGCATTCACCTCTAGCGAGAGCACACCCACTGAAACCACTGAATATTTCCTGCTGTGTGCCACATACGAGAAAGGACGGAGTCAAGGGTAGCTCAAAGATAAAGGGATTAGTGAAGTTGTAGGCCAAATTTTGATGAATGGAAAGGTGTTTCCAGCAGAGGAATTTTTGCAGTGAATTACAGAACAGCTGAAGAAAAAGGTGGAGAAGAACCAAATTGATTTAGAGTGATCAGCCTACACAACACATGCCCAGTTATTTAATTCCTCAACCTAACACAGCTAATTTTGTTTGATACTTGAGCTCAGTTCCAAGCCAAAACTGTTGTAATTTTTCATGCAAGTAGTTTTGAATAACACTTAAAAGTTAAGTTGTTTGCAAGAATTTTCACCTTTATTCCTTTCATTTTTGGCGCCTTCAGAGGAGTGAAATGTAGAAAAGCTGAGTGAAAATCAACACTTTACTCAAGGATTCGAATTCTCATTTGATTCAGTGACCTGCTTTTTAAACCTTTAAGTCACTATTGTTTCAATTTAAACGACACCACAAAACAACAAGTGGAACAGAACAGTTGAGTGACAGAGAGGCTGCAAAACACGCTATTATTATCATGATCATCACTCACTTGCGAGCATCTTTACACATGCACTAATGAGTATTAGAAGCGGAGGCTGAGTACACAAAAATGCTAATTATTTTTAAACTGTCTGCCTGGAGCACATGTCTCCTTGCTTTCAGTACCCCTTTTATTTAGATGGTCCTTGTTATGGTAATTAATATTCAAAACACACACATATGTTTCCTGAAAAAATATAAGGACATATGAAGAATCTATTACTGTGGCCCCTATGAGTGTCTGTGCATGAATCAGCCATGATGTGGTGCACAAAGCATCCCATTGATTGCATAGTCCTAATGACTCATAACCTTATGTGATCCTTGGCTACAGTCACTTATTTATTTATTTTTACCTTCTTTCAACCAGAAACACACCACACAAACACACACACACACACCCGTCTACACACACACACACACACACACACACACACACCATTATCTTAACACTCACATGCACTGATGCACAGAGCATGAATCCTGTGTTCTGTTCAAAGTCCAGGTCATTTAGGACACAGTGCACTTACTTGTAAAAACAAGACAGAAAAGTGCTTAAATCAGAATGCTAGACCTTTTTATAGGCAACAAACAATACAGATATAAAACCATACAACATTACTGATATAAAGATATTTGCTAATATCTAATATATTGCTAACGTGTACTGCGGTTAAAGATATGATGGTGCAGTTAGAATAAGCTAAATGTTGTTTGCACGAGGAACTGCATACTCAGTTCAGAAAAATGTGAGGAACGTGTTCCACTTAGCACATCATAAAGGCACGTAAATCTAATTATGTATTAACTAGGATAATTACACTGACGTTTGTAACCCTTGTACATCTGTATGGACAAGCAACCTAAATCAAAAGAAAAATCTAAATATATGTGGTAAATGGGCTGGTATTATTGAGTAAGCAAAACAAACCACATTCATTCACACACACAAAGATGCATTAACACAGTCCTTTATTTTGTGCACTTTTTAAGTATCACATTTTTTTTTTATCTATGTAGCTGCAGCATTTTTTTTTATTCACTATCTTGCCTAAGGGTACTTCTGCATGCAGATTGGAGGAGCTGGGGATCAATTTATTGAATTCTAATCAGAAGACATCCTGATTTAGATCTCTTTTTTTTGTAATATATATACAATACATGACATACATTTAGTCTCAGTGTACGAAATGTATGAATTTGTACTGAAAGACGCTACAGTCACAACATACATATGTTCTGTAATTATTGGACCACTACATGTTGCCAAATATTTGTTACGTTTTGACATTTTGAACGCATTCAGTTTTAAATTAGCTAGCTACTCCTGGGTTGCAAACTGTCTGATTTTAAATGTCCATCAAAAGCTATAACTCTCTTTTGCCAAAACCTACAGAACCACATCACATTGACTGAGTGCAAAGTGCTAAATAAGCAAGTTACAAAAAATTACTCCTGTGGTAACCAGTGTTGGTCAAGTTACTTGAAAAAAGTAATCAGTAACTAATTACTGATTACTTCCCCAAAAAAGTAATCCCGTTACTTTACTGATTACTTATTTTCAAAAGTAATTAATTACTTACTTAGTTACTTAGTTACTTTTTAAAAACACGATTTACAACCTGAATAGG